ATCAGTTCATCCAGAAGTTTGGAGAACGACCATTTCAAAATTAAATTTAAAATGTGAAAACGTGGAACGGTTTAATTTTTTTATACCCGTCCCGAGCGATGCCTGATCCAATGCTTTGAAGAAGAAAGAGTTTGGATAGAGATCGTGATCAACAAAAGTGTTTTCTCCTGTAGCCTTCAGAGGCCTCATTGAATGCTGCTGAACATCGAAGCAGATGCCCAGCACATTGTTGTTATAGTAACAGCCTTTGATTTTTTCCTCATTGTAATTTTCCAATTCAGCACCTTTATTTATGTTTCAAGCTTAGAAGTTCAACTCGACAAATACAAATTAAACTCAAACAAAACAAGACGATCTAAGATCGTAAGTCGGGCTGTAGCTAGACGTGCTGCTAGCTACGAGTGTTGATCACTTGCGGTGCGCAGGGATTCTAAAAATAGCATGTACAGTTGCATGTCTCAAAGAAATATCATTAAACCGTAATCATCACGAAATCATTGCTTATTTTAACTGACCGATAGATGAAAGTGAAAGCTACGGTAATCGTAGTGAAGTTGATTTAAGTTGTGACGTCACTTACGTGTTTTAGGAGACTGGAGTCACCGCCTTCTTCTCTCACCCTGTTCACTGCGGTTATTTCATATGTACTGCAGTCTTCATTTCCCTGAGTTCATAATAATATTGCCACCGAGTGAGTGTTTGTTTGCCTGGGAACACTGTAATAAGCTCGCAATGGATGGTACTTCTAATAGTAAACATGCACCTGAGGGTTGGCTTCTACCATATTCGTCTCTTGCACGAGAATCAAATATCTTAAAACTCCCATTATCAGTATGACAGATACTGACACCAATATATTCTATTGTCAGAATAAATGAAGAATAGTTTTGCGACAAGAGCGATTCAAAAGCCCTGCCTTTAGACATAATGTACTGATATCCCTCAATTATCGAATCACAATGATGTAGATTACCAGTGCAGCTTTCACTGTAATTAATTAGTATAGGTAATCATACGGTTTCGAGTTCAATTTGGAATTAATTTGCACGAGTGAGTTTTTCAAA